CTCCCTTCTTCCCTTCCACTCTCTCTAAAAATCAATGAAAAAATATCCTCTGTTGAGGACTAATGACAAAAAAACAAAAACCAATACACTATGCTAAGTGAAGGAAGCCAGATAAAAGATGGCATATTGTATGATTTCACTGATACAAAACATCCAGAATAAGCAAGTCTATAGAGACAAGAAGTAGAGGAGTCATTGCCTAGGGCTGAGGAGCTGAGAGGACTGGGGAGGGGGGTGATAGGACAGCTAAAGTCCTATGGGATTTCTTTGGGGCATGATGAAAATGTTCTAAAATCGTGGTGATGGTCGCACAGCTCTGTGAATATACTAAAACCCACTGAAGTGTACACTTTAAATGGGCGAATTGTGTAATATGTGAATTATATGTCAAAAAAGCTATTAAAAAGAAATAATAGGAGGTGTACTGTAGTATGTTGACACAGCATATAGTTGTTTTAGCTTTTCACAAAGCACCTTTCCTCATGCTGTGTCACAGTCAGGCATTAACTCCTAAACAGCTGCGAAAGCCAAGGCTCAGAGAACAGACTGACTTGCTCTAGGACACAGGTAACCAATGGTGAGGTGTGAGCAAAATCCAGGTCTTTGGACTCCTTGTCCACTGCAGCACAGACCTTCCCACCCAGAGTTACTAAGGGAGATTGGGTAGTCACTCCTCAAAGCCCCAGGGAAGAGGAGAGAGAGGAAGGAACTCCTCCCTGGGCCTCTCCCTCCCTGCTGCCCTCCAACACTCCTCCCTCCACTCCCAATGCCAACTTCCTTCTCCGCCCCGCTCCTCCCTGGTATCCTTCCCAGCACCACTGAGCAAGGCTTTCCCTCCCTATGCCTCACTCAGAGTGCTGGGAAGGAGGGAACGTGGGACAGGGAGGTTGCTCTAGAAATTCTGCCCATGTGACATATTTGGAAAAGGGCTCAGAAAGGGCGACGAACCAGTTTAAAGTCATCAGCTGATATCTGACCTCTAGTTTCCTTAACATGTTTGAGAATGAAAAGAGAGGGTTTGTGATAGGCAGTTAGACGGACATGAGCAAGGCAAGGACGATAGGCCAGGCACAGAAGGTCATCAGGGTGGAAAGCCCTGAATGCCTAGCAAAGGGCAATTGTAAGGTGGGACTTCATCCCCAGGGTGGCCTTTCTTCCCCATCCTGAGGTTTGGAACCCCTCACCTTTCCTCCCTAGAGATTGTATTTCAACTCCAGGCCCAGAAAAGCAGCAAAACAGCCACTGTTGATCTCAGAACCAGCTGCATTGGATAATGACCCCACCCTGGTGCGGACCAATCAGTGGAGACCACAACCCTGAAAGGGCACACCTGGAAAGCTGCTAAATATTATAGAGATCTTTCCCTGCAACTTCCCCTAAGATTCCCCACCCTTAAAACCATTAGGATGGAGGACCCAGTGCTCCCCCTCCTGGGAGCATGCCTGTGCCTTTCCCTTCCCACCCCCAGGCACATTACCATTAGCTTCCTCAGTCTCTAGGCCCAAAGGCCCTTCCTTTGCCTCAATAACTTGTTACCTAAGCCCATTTCTTCTAGAAATTACTTCTTCCACCTCTGTAATTTTACCAAGTAAACGTTCTTTTGCAGTTTGGGTCTTGGCTCTGAATTCTTTCCTAGCCAGAACCCAAGTACCCAGGTTGCTGCACCCAGGTTTGGTCTCACCCACGGGCCTAACACCTGG